TAACACTTCACGCGCACTTAGAATATTTTTCTGTGACTTTCGGTGTCGGAAGTCCCGACGTAACTCGGAACTCCCGACAGTCGGAAGTCCCGACCTAAGCCAGGAGTCCCGGCACCTGTGCTTCTGACTGCTCGCTGTCTGTGCTCGTCGGAAGTCCCGACGTTCGCCAGAGTTCGACATCGACTGACCCTTGCCGGAGTCCTGCATCATCGTATTCTTGGTCGTTTGTTTAACCGAGCTCGTCGGAAGTCCCGACGAACGTCGGAGTTCCGACCGTCGAAAGTCCCGACATTTGCCGGAGTTCCGACATCGACTTTCACCCGTGGACTTCACTCGTTGTTGAGAATAAAGTGTTTTACTGTTGTAGTCGGAAGTCCGGGATCTCGTCGGGTCTTCCGACGTAGATCTGAACGGTTGGATTTTCACTTGGAGTATAAATACTCCTCTCTCACTTCTAACCGATGCGGACTCATTTTCACAGCTTGACTCACTTCGTCTTTGAGCGGCTCCCAAGCAACAAAAGCACCCTCTCCTTCCTCCCCGCCTCCAATCTTCGATTCCCTTAGGTTTTGAGTGAAAGGAGAGTGGATTAAGTGAGAGCATCACTTTGGAAAGCTTGAGTACTTGATTTCTTCGCTGCCGGTTGATTTTATGTCTATTACTCTTGGGGCTTTGCCCCTAGCCGGCTAGGCGTTGCCCTAGAGCTTTCATCTTGTGGAAGAGCCTTGGAAAGTTTGTATCACCCTTTGATTTCTTAGTGGAAAGCTCAAGTGACCTTTGTGGTCGCTTTGAGAGAGGCAAGGAGGTGGAAAAGACTCCGACCTTAGTGGTCACCTCAACAACGAGGACGTAGGAGCTCCTTTGTGGGGTTGCCGAACCTCGGGATAAATCCTTGTGTCCTGCGTGCTTGTTGTTGTTGTTGTGATTACTTGAGATTACTTGTATGTGTTTGTCTCTTTGTCTCCAAAATTCCCATTTTAGGGTTTGGTCTCGATCTACCGTTTGGAGGCTTTACGGCGTCAAGGGAGTGACCTAATATCTTCACCAAACCACAAGAAAGTGAGGTTGTAAGATTATTTATCCGCAAAGTTAAATTTGGCACTGCTTTTCTAGTTCACGTAGGCGTCGAAACTACGGACGTTTGCGTCGGAACTTCTGACAACGTCGGGAGTTCCGACCCAAACATCGGGACTTCCGACAGTGGCTGACAGATTTGAACTTAGCATTTGCAGTAAATTTGTAGATACGTCTATTCACCCCTCCTTTAGGCATTGTTAGATCCTTTCAACATGTTTAGGCCTCTATAGATGTGACGTGAAAGATCTGAAAGAGAGATTGATTGCTATTTTCGATAAATTCAAGATGAAGAACAAAACCCACATACTTCTAGCCTACAACTGCGAGTATGTATTCTCGGCTTTTAATTTTATGCTTCTTTTTTTATTAAGATTATTCGATAATTAGAATTCTGAGATTGCAGCAACTATTTCGTCTTCATTTGTGTCAAGCTTGCTAAAAATCTGATCGAGGTGTGGGACTCGAAGAAAAAACCATTTTATCATCTGGATGCACTGGTGGCAGTGCTGAATGAGTAAGCGATCCTAGTAACATATTATTTTTTAATCACACATACCGTTTTCTAATGTTTCTCCTGTTAATGTTGCACAGTGTCCGAAGAAGACATCGGTTGGACGCAGGTTCCATTCAAAGTCGTCGAAATGGACGGCGGGAAACAATGAATGCGGGTTTTATGTAATGTGAGCAATGCTTCGCTACATCGGCGGAAAATCGAAAGAAGCATATAAGTTGGTGTGTATAATCCTCATTTTATTTATATCTGTTAATAATTCAACAAAATAATTTACTGATTTCTCTTTGGATATCATCTTTTTTGAACGATAGCGCAAGAAATATAACCACGAAAGGCTGTTAGACATGGAGATTGTCGCACTGCAATCGGAGCTGGCAAAATTCGTCTTAGCCGAGGTATTAAAAAAAGATGGAGTATTTTCCATTACACAATCCGTGAAGTTCAAGGACCAATGTGGCCTAGAGCGGCTCGCTAGATTATTATAAGAAGTCCGAGAAGCATGCTTCATCTTATTGAATAATTTCTTTTTTATTTTGAGTGATCGAGATCTTGATAAGAACATTTGAACTGTAACCGTAATATTTGTAATGTTTAATATTGATGGACCTGTCGTCTACGTAGCGTATATAAAACGAAACTCAATTCCATGAAAAAATATAAATTAAAATAAATTATAAAATAATAAAATGCGAACAGGCCATCACTGTCGGTTAGCAACAAACCGACAGTGATAGCCAAGATGGCACTGTCGGCTTGAGCCACAAACCGGCAGCGTTGGTTTAGCCGTCACTGTCGGGTCTTGTCCCAAACCGGTAGTGCTGATTACGACAACACTGCCGGCTAAAGACACAAACCGACAGTGACGTCCGAGGTTACACTGCCGGATGGTCTCATGAACCGACAGTGTTGGTGGAACTGAACTCTGCCGAGTTGTATAAAGGACTGGTAGTGAAGTTGCAGAACACTGTCGGTTTGTAGAAACCGACAGTGATAGCTAACCCTCATCACTGTCGGTTTGGTTCTGCCGATTTAAAATTCGACAGTGATAAGATGTTTTAAACCGACAGTATTGTCCTAAGCGGGGCAGTGGTGTCCGGCTATTGCGTGCCAAAGTGACTACTTGTTTCCTCGCAAAGGGATATGTTACGGCGAAAGGACACGGATGACACAACATGACAGCGGCTTTCACCCCGTTCCACAAACTTTCTGCCGTTTTGCTCCTTTTGATCCCTTCTTTAAGCTTGTCAACCTTCCATTTTCCATTCCACAGCTTTTTTTTTTCAGTCAAAGCTTGTCGCCATGATGGATCCTCTATAGTAGCTGTAGTGGATAATGCTAGTAAACACCTAGTATTATATAGGAGATTAGCGTGCGCTCACTGGCATGTTTGTTCGTCGCCACTTCAAGCAAGATACATACAGTACGTTTTATTTTTCATAATATCTACTAGCAAACATACTCGTACGTTGTAATACAATTTTACACGGTCACCTGAGTCAGAGCACATCAATAATGAGCTAGTTATCTTTGTCAGATTTAATTGGGTTTGGCCAACCATATTTCAACTTAATAAGATAAATTTTAAGGTTCATAATAAATGCTAAATATAATAAAGATTTAATTGATTCAATATGGTAAATTAATTGATGATTGCCTCAGCCCAATGAGTGGCTATTGTATGCACTTGTCGTGAATTAAAAAAAAAGTGGAAGGCAAACTACGTGTGGACACATGCAACACGGCAGAGGCTCAGGTTGAGCAACACCAACAACGTCTTTGCCGCTCTAAATTATAACCAACACCATGTTGGAGGAGGATACATTCTACCGGGCCCTCCTCCTAAGTCTACGTTTACCACCTAGGCCTTGAATTCTTGTTGTGGGTATATGTTTGCCACCCATGAGAGCGAAAAGAATGGAGTAAGGAACGATGGGTCGAGGGAAAAAGATGCGTGAGAGCGAGGGGCATATGAACTGAAGAGAAAGTGACCTACTAAGAAGGTTAGAAGAGTGAGAGATGAACAATACTATTTTTAATACTCCATTAGATATATAGATAAAAACGTATAGATAGTTTCTTAGTTCTACAGTTCTCTTATCATATACAGTAATCTTTTTATTATCAGCATACAGTTTTGTTTTTCATAGAGGATTTATTACTTATCATGCTCAGTCTCCGCAAGACCGCAAGCCACACGAAGTAGCACCACAAGATGTCACTGAGAATCTGCAGTGGCCCAGGACGACCGGGCCGGGCCAATGGGCCGCTGATACCACGTGGGCCCAACGACGCTGCGGGTCCCGCCACCTGGCCCGGCTGCTCCTCCCTCCCGCGGCAGCGCGTGCGCGGCTGTCGGCCGCCTCGCCCTCCGTTCTTCCACCCCGTTCCCCACGCTCCACAGCGCCGCTGATTGAAAAAGACTATTTCTAACCCTACCCTGCTGCTCTGGGTTCCAGAACCAGAAGTGAACAAACATAAGCAAGGTTTGCATCTGTTAATTAACCCATTGTGTTATGCATCTTTCTGCAGGTGTGGCCACTACTCATCTGCTAACCAATTGGGTGAAGCCTGCTTGCTAGCTAGTTGCTACTGTATGCATATCAGCATATATATAAAACAGCTGGAGTGATCACTACTCATCTGGGGCATTGTTTACTTGCTCCACAGGACACAGGCTCTTGCATGGTGCTGCCCTTTCAGCTCATCTTTTCTTGGAACCGCACTTGGGCATGGCTATCTCCTCTAGGCACCTGTGGCCTGTGGAGCGTGACTGCGTGAGTGACATGACATGATGGACTGGCGGTTCAAATGGGAAAGCCACTTTTGGTGTGGGTTAGTCCTTTTTAACACACAATTTGTCTGGTTCAGCACCCATTTCCTTCTGCTAACACTAGATTATTACTAGCTTCCCAGTGCAATTAGCTAGGGTAGGAGTGTACCTCATGCTTGGGGTCTGGGGAGTTGGGACTGAGGAGTGAGGACGGAGGAACAGGAAGAACGGCAATGGCTGGACTGGACCACTTGCCGGCCCGGGGCCTGGCCCTCCCACAGAGCACTGCACTGCACTGACCAGAAGGAGAGTACTCAGTCCTTGCCCCCAAATCATGCATGATAATGAGCACTGACTGGTCCATGAATGGGGAATCTGTACACCATGTAGCATATCAAAATGTTCCAGGACTGTTTCTTGCATCATCATGATCTGCTTAAAATAAAAGCAGTCAAACCGGAGTCAATCTGGCGTGCACTGAGAAGAACATCTTCATCACTCGGCTAATACTGTATTTCATGCCCTGATCCCATGTGTCTGATTAGTAGGCATTTTCACATCCAATGATCTGAGCTTGACATGTTAACAGCTTCCTTTTATCTAACAGAACATATTAACCGCTTCAGTTGAAAGAACACGATGACGGTAAAAACCTCTTGTTCTATCACTTGGATCATGATGATGGATTGATGGTATTCTGGAGCGTCCCCTGCTGTACCTACCAAAACCCTAACTTCGAAATGAAAATAGGTGCGACGGTAGAGAAAAAAGGACTGTCCGGTGTAAAATGATTTAAAGCTGCTGTTGACGCATTGTATACACATTGAAAGAATAGAGGTCCACTGACGTATTACTGTCGTCCAAAAGCTTATCTTTCACCTTACATTTGGCTCCAAAAGCTTGCATTCATCACCCTTTTTGACCAGACATTCTTTTACAGTAATTTTCTATTACGGCCGAATGATTACGCAAAGGCACATGTAATTTAGGCGGTGGTCCATTTCTTAACCCTGTAGGAGTGAACTCTGCAAGAACAGGGTCACAGTGATGTATGCTTTTATCGTTCGGCTTCGGCATGCCTAGTTAAAAATACGGCCACTGTGAAAGGAATCTTACATCATTCGTGTCTTTTCTCCTGCTGCTCTTTTCTTCAGAGTCTAGAGAGAAGCGGTTCAGAGAGGCAGGAGCTGCACTGCATGCTTGCTCTGCTTGTGTTGTGGAGTGGAGTGGAGATGGATGTGTATATAAGGGAAAGCCTGTGGCCTTTGGAGCCATACAATGATCAGAAACTGAGAGTGGCAAGCGCCAAGGAGTAGTTAGAGCTCAGTAGGATACAGTTTGTGAGTCACTTCTCTGACATCCACGGGTACCAGTTACACTAGGTGAGGAATGAACTCCTTCCTTTTGATTCCACTCTGATTTGCTCATCAAGCTTCAATGCTCCTTTCAATCATTCTAAAGCTCTGGAAGTTAGGAGTGAGATGCTTTCAGGCTTACCTAGCCTTCTCACTGTAGTAAGCATATTTTGGATGACACATTCAAATAACAGTCACAATGATTTCAGCATTCTATTTTCAGAAAACTGCTAGGCAGATTTTAGCCTTAGATCGTTGTCTTCTCTCTTTCTTTCCTTCCTTCTGAATGTAATGTTGCATTTCTCGATTCCAGTTCAGAAACTTCCATTCTTATAGTTGTATGGTAATCAACCCTTGCTTAAATTCACTTCATTGCAGGTTCAAAGAGATAGAGTGACAAGCACTACTCTCACAATGCCCATGGAGCAAGCATTCAGGCACTGCGATAAAGACACGCTGAAGATGGCCATGCTGAAACATGAAGAGACTTTCAGACAGCAAGTAAGCTCAAAGAGGTTTCCAGCATTTGGAGCTACTAGCCTTCAGACACTGATCGACATCTTCTTCTCTGATGCCACAGGTTAACGAGCTGCATCGCTTATACAGGATTCAGAAGCTTCTGATGCGAGACCTCAAACGGGAGGTCAAGAGCCAGAGGAACCTGTCCACCTCGCCGAACGGCAGCTGCACCGAGTACAACATAGGAGCTCTCGGCATGTGCGCCTATGAGCACCGCTACGCCGCTCGCGGCCGCGGCGGACACGTCGCAGCAGCGACGCCGACGCCGCGCACCGCTCTCAGCCTCGACGTCGTGGCGCCAGTCGTCGAGTACGTGCGGAGCGCGGAGGAGGAGGACGACGACGAAGCGGAGGAAACCGACGACGACGCGGAGCTGGAGCTCACGCTCGCCGTGGGTGGGGGCGGGGCCAAGAAGAGGTACGGCGAGTACCCGTCCGGTGGGGAGAGCCTCTCGTCGTCGTCCACGGAGTCCGACGTGCTCACCGTCTCCGGGCGTGAGTGGCGCCAGGCGCGCGGCACGCCGTATCACAAGAGGAGGCAGGCGACCGAGCTGGACGTGGTGCAGGTGGAGGACGGCGTCGGGGTGCTGCCGCCGCCGCCGCTGCTGTTCCACTGGCTCAGCCTCAAGATGGCATGACGCGATGAGACATGAGAGGAAGCAAGAGCACGTCGCATCTGTTAGTTGCTGCTTGTAGTGTCAGGGTGTTGACTTGCTACTGTTCTTCAGTTGAATGCTTTCTGTGTGTTCAGGTTTAGTGATGGATCAAGTCTAGAAATCAATAATTGACTGGTTGTTCAGGAGAATATGTAGGAGAGTCTTCCAAAGCATAAGCACCGTGTTCGTTTGGACTTATTTGGCTTATAAACTGTATTTTTTCAGTCAACAAATAATATTTTTTTTCACAACAAATCAGTCAACAGTACTTTCAGTCATGGGTTATCAGCCAAACAGACCCAAACGAACCGAACGAACGAGAATGTGGGGGCTTTTCAGACGGAGCTGTGTCACTGTGTGTGCTGCCTTTCTGCCTACTGCAATCTGCAAGTGTTAGCTTCTACATTCTCATCGACGGCCGTGAATCCGTGATACTGCAAGAGTTCAGTAGAAAAGGAAAAACGAACTTTCTGATAATTTTTACAGATCAAGTAAACTAAAGAGATAAATACATCATAGGTCCACTGCCCTTTTAAACGTGTCATTCACATTCATCAGCTCTAAAACTACATATTTGAGTTCATAAACTTTTTAAATAGTTCATTATAGTACATACTCCTTCATTTGTGGAATAGATCCAACATGACAATCCATATCATCAGCCAGTGTGGCGCGTGCAGTTTCACGTGACCCACATGCCACGCTATATGGACTATCACGTTGGACCTATTCAAGGGGTACAAACTTACAATGAACAACTTTAAGGGCCCCTTTGAAACACAGAAATTGTATGGGAATTTCGTAGGAAACAATTTATTTTCATAGGAAAAAACATATGAATAGGAAAGTTTTCTCCATTCCAAAGGAGGCCTAAAAATTCATGGATCCAAACATACAGTTTTCAGAGTTGGTGGACCTGAATGACAAAATCAAACAAGTTGATGGACCTAAGGTGCATTTATCTCTAAATTAAAGAAATGAACGAAAAAACCGATCTGATGCAAATTTGAAGGTGCTTTGAATTGAATGTCTCATATTCTTAACCCTGAAAATCTTCGCCACTTACCGACGAAAGCATGTTAAAACACTAGTTTGTTTCAAAATACTAGCAAATATGCACGTGCGACACGCACGTGTTTCTAAAAACTATTTAAAATACAATGGAAATGTTAATTGAATTGTCGATATACAATAAAGGTAGATGAAAGTGCTTCATCGATTCGATTAGATCGCGTAGAATAAGGTTCATATCGTTTGTTTTGTTTGCTAGGATGCCTCAGCTGCATATATCGCTGCAGTTTGACTTTTAGGCACCTACATGCATATATGTCCCACCTCGCACGAGCTTCTCGTCTTATATATCTCCTCATATTCTTGTTTTCTTTTCCGAATAGATACCGAGTCCGTTAAGGTGCCGTCGTCCGACCAGAAAAACGTACCAGTCACGGAGAGGAAAAAAAACACACACACACACGAAAAGAAACATAATTGGAGTTTCGGATGATCGTGAGTTTTTTTTTTTGGAAAAATAATGAATTTGATTTTGCCTCACGGATCTGTACGAGGGTTGTACGGGAAAAAAAGAACTCAAAAAAAGGAAATTTAAAAACGTCGGTGGGAGTTTTACTGGAAAAAGAGAACGCAACAAAAACGAAATAAAAAAAAGTCTGTGCTTGAGTTCACGGAAAGAAAAAAGAACGCAATTTTGTCTACCGGATCCGTGCAGGAGTGTACCGAAAAAGAATAAGGAACCTTGTGATTACGGGGGAGACTAGGGAGATTACGCGGTCTGGAGGAATCTTAGATTAGGAAGAGTCTTATATCTTACATATAAGATTATAGGATGACGGATGACTCATATAGTACGACGTGTAGATCGAACGATTATTATAAAAGAAAAGTCACTCAAAAAACTCGCTCTTTTATAGTGTGATAAGTTGTTCAAATTTTATCATAAGCCACTTTTTTTTACTTAAGTTTATAAAAAATATATTAACATCTATAGTATCAAGTAAATGCAGTGTCAAAATATTTCATGGTAGATTTAATAAAACTAAATTGATGTCGTAGATATTTGTGTAAATTTTAAATTTGGTTAAAAGTCGTGGAATGTCGATTTAAGATAAAATTAAGACAACTTACATTTTAAACCGGAGGTATTGGCTTAGGAAAACTCTTTCATATGTTAATGACTTATTAATGGGTGGGCTTAGCTACAACTACAATATACTCGGTGGTGTGCGAGCTCGTCTTCTTTAGGACGTGTTTAGCAGGAATTCAGATTCAAGTCAAGAAGAAACATCTCAAATCTAGGGCCTTGTTTAGATTGAAAAAAATTTCAATCCGATGAATAGTAGCACTTTCGTTTTATTTGGTAAATATTGTCCAATCGTAGACCAACTAAGCTCAAAAGATTCATCTCGTGATTTCCAACTAAACTGTGCAATTAGTTATTTTTTTACCTACATTTAATGCTCCATGCAAATGATTAAAAATTGATGTGATGAAGAGAAAGTTAAAAAACTTAGAATTTTGAGTGTATCTAAACGAGGCCTAGATGTTAATGGACAGTCCAGACGCCGAGTACAGCACGGCCCTGCAATGGGGCAGGATGCACTTGCATCTTGCAACTTGTGTATGAAAGCGTTTTCCGAGGGAAAGGAGCGGGCTCACGTCAGCGAACAATCCACACCTAGGGCTTATTTAGGCCCCGTTTGGCAGGGTTTCTCTAGCGGCTTTAGAAGTCGCTTGGAGCCGTTTTCTGTTAAACGGAGTAAAATAAAACAGCTCTATTGATGAAGCCCCTAAAAACGTACTCTCACATAGCTTTGGGGTGGGAATGAGCTAAAAATAGTAGCTTCTCTCGGCTTTACCTCATTCTATATGGCGTTCTCTGAGAGCATATTTTAACAAAAACTATATGCGAAGCTATTTTGCCAAACGATTTATCAAAACGGCTACAGCTCCACCCATAGAGCTGTTCATGGAGCTGAAGCCCTAAAAAGGGTTTTATGGGTGAAGTAGAGCCGTGCCAAACGAGACCTTAGTTCCTAAAATTTTTTCTAAAAAGTGTTACAGTAGCTATCACATCGAATCTTGCGATATGTGCATAGAGCATTAAATATAGACGAAATAAACTAATTGCACAATTTGGTTGGAAATTACGAGACGAGCATTTTAAGTATAATTAGTCTATAATTAAATACTAATTGCTAAATAAAAACGAAAATGCTACGTTAATCCATTCCCGGACTAAACAGCCTATAGCGACGAAAAGCCAGCAGATTCCAGCGCCCGCCAGTCCACCGGTACGGTATCCAAACGCAGCCACGCTAATTAAACAAAGCCCGACGAGAGATTCGTCTCCACCTCCTCCCTCTTCTCCCTCCCCACTTCCGCCCGCCGAAACCCTAGCCCGCCCCGCCCCGCCTCGCCTCGCCTCGCCGCCAGCGATGGGCGCTGCCTGATCGGTGCGCCCCCTTGGAACCGCCTGCCTACTGGCATCGCCAAGCCCGCCGCCGCGGCTGCCGTCGTCGTAGCGGCGCTCGCGTCCTCCTTCCTCGCCCTCCCGCGTCCACGCGCCGCCGCCCCGCCCCCCGCGGGATCCGGGCCCCTCATGTCGAAGGCGAGGGTCTACACCGACGTCAACGTCCTGCGCCCCAAGGAGTACTGGGACTACGAGGCGCTCACCGTCCAATGGGGGTAAGCGCTTACATCACGTCACATTCTGACACCATTTGGCGCAGTTTGCACGTTCGAGTTTAAGCTTCGGTTGATTGTGCGGGGGATTAGGTGAGATCGTTAGTATTGGCTGGCCTGCTTGGCTGTTTTTGGATCATCTTGGCTAGATGGCCTGGGTGAGCAGCATACTCTTTTTATCTGGGTACAGTTAGGGCTGTATGAATGTTTTGTTAGGAGCATAAGATATGCAATATCACAATAGTGCCCATAATTTTGAAAACTGAAGTGACTTCTTATGTAGCTGCAACATAACCCAGATTTTTTCAGTGTCAACCGTGTACTGGTGGCATGGTGTTTATCTCTATCAGGACAATTTAATTCTTTTGCTATTTTGCCTGGTTGGTTAAGGTGCATGTTCCTTTTAGCCTTTGTTATGATATGGCTAAATAGTTCCTTGTGTTTCGAGGTTGCAATTATTGTGTATTGACCCGTAAAAAATTGTATTAAATGTAACAGCGCATCTGTTGATTCTCGGTGATAGGACTGGGTTTAGATATTTTTCTTTTTAGAATTAAGGCACAGCTGAACTTTTCACCAAATTGAGAGTATGAGGCATGTGGATCACCAAACATGCTAATTCCAGTAACTAAATGTTTGTGGATGTCACAAATTTATGCGGTAACACCTTAAGCAACTACCAAAAACATGTAGCTTATTGTCCCATTCCTACTGGAAATCATCTACACCATGGCATTGAGTAGGTAGTTGAGATCTGAGACTTATTGGAAGCACTTTTCTGTTTAGTGACACCGAGGAAGTGAACTGTTTTTCTCTTGGTGCAGAACTTTATTTGAGTATGTAATGGGCTACAGTTCTTGCAAATGGTTTTCCTAGTTTGTGGTGAAGTATTACTGTAGTGTCTTCTTGATAAAAAAAAAACTGAAAGAGGTGGCTACTTATTTGCTGTCTTCTTTCTTATGATACTTGTGGAGAACTTTAGGGAAAAAAAAACTTTTATTTCAGCAATTTTAGTTTAGAATGCAGGTCTTATCCATGGAACTTGCACGGACAGTACAGATTCAATTTCTATTCTCCAAACTCTAATAATGATCATTTAAATCCATCTTTTTGGTCTGTTTAATTCTTCTATCAATATTTCCGGAGCACTCAATATTTTCAGAGCATCTGTTAGCATATTACAAGTTCTGTATATCTTTTGAAGTAATGTTTCCCTAACCATTGTGTATCTCTTTGACCAGTGAGCAGGATGACTATGAAGTTGTCAGGAAAGTTGGAAGAGG